CAAGTTTAAATAGCTTGTTCCAAGTCAGTGATAAAAAGCTTAAGAAGCAAGTTTCAACCTGGTGCTCCTGAGGCTGGCCGGTCCTGCCTCTGTCTGTGAAGAGCCTTGAGCTGCTGCAGGCTCTCACTGCTCATCCCAGAGGGAAGCTGTAGTGTGAGACTACAGTGGAGTGTCACAGACGCTGACCAAGATACTCAACGTCATGAGCAGTGCAGCCCAATATCTATGGCTGTGTAGAGGCCAGCTCTAAGGGCCAGAGTCAGGGGAGACTGAATAGTTAGAGACACGTCTGAAAATGGAAGTGAGGCCTGCCTCAGCCATTCACCAGCAGTGTGTCCTGGGGCAATGCACTCTGCCCCTGCATGCCTCAATGCTCTCATCAATACTAATGACACCGTCTGCAAGAACTGAATAGCTCTGGCCTTTGAGCCAAATGATTCCACAACACTCCATGGAAATCCTGAGGCTGTAGCTGGGGTAAACAGCCAAGCAGCAGGCTGGTGTCCATCAGCAGAAGAGTGACTTCCCTCAAATAAAAATGGAGACAGCACTATGACTTGTGTGCACCAGTAATTACATGCAGAATTCTAGCAGAAAACTGCTACAAATGAGCCAAGGCTAAATGCTCACTTTGACACACAGAACACAGGAAAAGAGAGTCCCCAGCACAACCTGCTCCCCAGTGGAGGGACACATACCCCAGAAAAGGGTCTGGAAGCCTCTTGCTCATTCTTTCTACTCCAAAGAGCCCCAGCAACACTCAATTTCCCTCCCACCCAGCTGCCTCCTTGCTCTGCCTTCTTCCTGTCCAGCCAACATCGCAGGTCAGGGCAACACACACCATTTTCACTGCAAGCTGCTTCCAAGATGCAGTCATGTTCAGTACAGGAACTCTCTCACCCTGGAGACATGCACGGGGAGAGCAGGGTGTGCTAACCCTGTCGAGACAGGGACCTTCCTACAAGTTTGTTTCCAGTTCAACTTGGCTACAACCAGCCACATCCTCACTGGCTCCAAGACTCTCCCGGCTTGCCCTTAGTCAATTTCTTCCCTTCGTTTGAAAGAGTGTGATCTTTTTCACTCCCAGGACCTGGCCAAGGGTCTCTGCAAACTTGGAATCCATTCTTTTCATCTCCTCTATGGTCTGTGTCCTACATGAAAGCACCCTCACGCACCAGCACTCCCAGCCTGGATCTCAGTACACGGCTGCACAACCAAATGACACCACTTAGGACGTGTTTTGTCCTTTCAAACGTCTATGCCACCGTCACCTGTCCCCTCACACCACTTAGGACCTGTCTTGTCCTTCGAAATGTCTATGCTACCATCACCTGTCCCCTCTGCCTGCAGCTCCCTCCCAGGGCCAGCCCCATACTGTCTCTTCTAGGAATCCTGCCTCAGTCCCTCTCAGCGGCGAGGCAAGCACCCTTCCCCATCCTTTACGCACCTCAGGCAATGTGTTGGGATAAGTCGTTCTCTGCACCCAGGTTCTTCAGAGGCATCCTAAATGTGCCACCTCACCCTGGGGTGGTGGAACAGGGTGCCGGCTAGCATGGAAATGCTTGGAAAGGGGCAGGCTGGCCTTGCTTAAACTCTGCTGTGTCCCAGCTGTGACCTCCAGCACTGTCATCAATCTGCTAAGGTGTCACATAAAGGTCCATGGTGAAGACAGATGAGGGAAAGGCCGACCTGTGTTAGGGTGACTGATGGTTCACAAACAGAGAAGAGACACTGGGTCCTGGTGTGCTGTGGATGGAATCAAACAGCACAGCTGCTGTGGAAAATGGCACAGCAGTTCCTTAAAAAAAATAAATAAAAATTAAGCCAGGTATGTGGCACATACCATCAATCCCAATAGTAAGAGGTGAAAGCCACAGACAGCCTGGACTACATGAGAGCCCATCCTTATAACCAAAACCAGGGGCTGGGGGATGGCCTAGTAGATACGGCGTTTGCTGTGCAAGCATGGGGTCCTGAGTGTGAAAAGCTGGGTGTGGTGGTGTGTGTGCCTGTAACTCCAGAGCTGGAGAGTGGCAGGGACAGAAGGATCCAGGGAGCTTGCTGGCCGGTTAGCCTAACACCGAGCTGAAACGGTGAGCTCCGGATTCAGTGAGAGACACTGATAGAGGTAACCATGGAGGAGGTGATCTGCAGCCTCCACAGGGGCATGCACGGTTGGGGCTAGCTGGGAAGAGGAAAGGGACCAGTAAAGTGGGAGGGGTACAAGAGAGGGTAAGGGAGGTAAATAGGTCAATAAATACACCGTATGTATGTGTGGAAATGTCATAGGGAAACCCACTATTATGTTGAGATAATATATGCTGATAAAACATTTTTAAAACATCAAAACAGAAACAAAAGCCAAGAAGCCAGATGTCGTGGTGCACACCTATAACCCCAGCATTTAAGAAGAAGGTAGAGGGGCTGGTTGAGAGAGCACTTGTTGCACTTGTAGAGAACCTGGGTTTGGCTCCCAGCGCCCACCTGGTGGCTCACAGCCATCCATAACTCCAATTCTAGGGGATCCAGTACCTTTTTCTGACCTCCACAGGCATCAGGCATGCATGTGGTAGACACACATACATGTAGGCAAAACACTCATACACATAAATAAAGCAGGTGAAAGTAGGAGAATGAGGAGTTCAAGACCATCCTAGGCTACATAGCAACTTTGAGGTCAGTCTGAATTACATGAGACACTGTTTAAAACAAAACAAAAATTTAGACCCAGTATAACCATGGAATCCAGCAGTGCCCAAAGAACTGAGAGTGGGCACTCAAAGATGTATCTGTGATCATGGTGGCAGTGCTCACAATGGATAAAATAAGGACCCACCCCTGATGCCCACCAACAGGTGAATGCAAAGCAAAGTGTGGCTTCTCCTCCATCCCACACTGAAGGTCTATGTCCTCAAATCCACGCTGAAACCTAGTCTCCATGCGACCGTTTTGGGGCGGGAGATAGCCCTTAGGATTGGGATTACTATGTTCATGAAACGAGCCTTGAAGCCATCCCTACTCCGGTGGTGCTTTTATTGCCACGGTAGAAAGCGGACCAAGATACAGGTTTTTCTTTATCTTGCTTTCTGGGATCTTACCTCTAACCTTCCACCCTCTGGCTCAGATTCTGGTACTACATACCCTCCAGGTGGTCCCAAGGGCTCGGGAAGGTACTCTGTACAATGCTCGAGCCACATGAGTTTGGGGCCAGCCAAAATTACAGAAATTTCAGCTCTGAACTCAGGTTCTGCCCAGGATGGCAGCTTCAGAAAACAACAAAGAGAGTTCTCTGCCTAATGCTGCAAAGCTAGCCTTGACCATCACCCTGGTGGCTGATAACAACCCTCAAAGTGGCCAAAAGTGGGTGTCCCTGGTAGGGAGGCACGAAGGTCTGCCTGCTGGCTGCCATCCTGTGCACAGCAGCTAGGCTCCCAGATACCATCACCTTCCCACAATCCACTGCAATCTCCCTGCGCCCTTCATATTGATGTTTGAGCAAAGAACACAAACCACTTTAAGTAAATGTTATGGTCTTATCAACAGGAAAAAGAGAGCTGAGAAAGAGTCTGTGGAAGAAGGAGCGTGGTCTCAGACCCCAAGCTACGTGGTCTCCTGTCTGTAAGGATCAAGGTCCTAAAACAGAGACTGTCAGGTAGGAGTGACAGTTATTTGTGATCCCAGAAGCACGCATGGTGCACAATGCAAACAGAACCGTGCAAACAGCATCCAGAGGGGTTAAGGCTTCAGGGGGCCCATTTCAGTCATTTTTTCATTCTTTCCCATAGGAAATAGCTCACTCTCTGAAGGAGGAGGAAAAGGCTCTACAGGGGACATTTACTGATGCCTGGCCTCCTTTGGGCTATAGAACCCCTTTCCCCACCAGCTAGAGGGCTAGCAGTCCTGTTAATCAAGGTTCAAGGCATCCTGCCAGCCAAAAACGATGTTCCCTCTATGAAACAGAAGACTGGAAAGGAAGGATGTGGTGTCATCGTGGTAGGAGTCCTTCTGCAGATGCACCCTGAGTTTCTCAGCTCCCGTTCTGGGATTACTCACACTCTTCTAGTACATTCTCAAATTCCAGAGTCAGTCAAGTTGGTTTGTGCTCTTTATAGCCCAAGACCCTCACTGTCCAAGGCTCTTCCAGGATTATGATGCAGACTGTGGATAGTCCTTGCCTGGATCTGGACCCCTGAAGAGTTCAATGTATATAAAGTTCACATGTAAAGGCATACCCCAAGCTTTCTCTCCTCCCCTGTCCTAGGTGCTAAAGCAGGGGCCTACTGTGGCCCAGATTCAACTATCAGAGGGGACCACACCTTAGGTGTGGGGGAATCAGCCCCCACTTTTATGACCAGGGTACTCTTGAGCAGGGAGAAGTGGGACATATTTAGATATAAAGAGATGCCTAGACGACTAGAGGAAAGACAGAAACACAGGATAGCCTCGAGAAGACCTGGGCCAATACCCACCAGCCCAGAACTTTATTCAAAAGGGCTTTTTATAACAATGCCAAGGGGAGGAGCAATAGACCTCCCCCTTGCTAGATACAGCCAAGTGTAGACCCTTCCAAACACCTGGTACCCAGGCCTGTGGTCCAATCATTTCCCTCATGTAGTCCTGCTGGGAAAAGTCACTAGGAAACCTCAGTGGGCTCCAACACTTAGGAGCTGTTGGATGGTGGGAATCTACATCCCTGAACAAGTCCTAGCACAGAGCTGTATACCAGACCAGAAGGTCCCCTCCATTCTGCTGTGGGAGAGAGGTTCACATCAAGCCACAGTATTTGCACTACTCTGTGGCAGCAGCTTATCCTAGAAGGCAATACACACCTTATAGGTCACAAGCAGAGGTCAGGGAGAACGAACTTGAGGGATGCAAACGAAGTAACAAAGCCTGGGTCCTTCCTTCTAGCCTTGAGGGAGCTCCCGGGTGCACAAGCAGCTTGGAAACCCAAGGCCTCCCCAAGTCCCACTGTCTTTACCCATTTAGACAGATCTCACCTTTTTCTCATCTCCACTCTGCAGGAGGTGTAGGGCACTCCTCCGGTCATTCTCGTGCTGTCTCAGGGCGCTGCCATGGGGCTGGGGCAGGCTGGAGGGAGGGGATGTGCTGCGACCCTGGGGGTCCACCCAGGTGTAGATGTGGTTGGTGACATAGCCCCCGGGGATGCGCCCAGCTGAGTACACAGACAGCACCAGCTTCTTGGAGCCCTTGAGAGCCTGGAGAGAGGGGGACACACAGTTAGAGGGAAGGGGGCACTCCCACTCTGCCATTGCCTCACGTGCTGTCAAGAATGCACACATGGAGGAGGAGGAGCCCGGCCTCAGTCCCATTCCCCACCTCACCCCCAAACCCTTAGTGTTGACATGTGAAAACAGGGCATCTGTCCCACCCTATTTCAAGTGATCCAAATACAAAGTCATCTCTCAAGACACCTGCACAGAAGACAGTGAGCTGAGAGGCCCGAGGCTGCTATGGGTATACGGCCCATATAAGAATGCAGGGCTGGCCCTATGCTGGTGTTGGAGACCTTCCTTGGCTTTGGAGTGTATCTCCTGTAGGGATTCACTTTTTCACACTGCTTGTGCACACAGTTTGGTTATGCTGAGCACCTGCTTGTCTTCTGCAGTCTGGAATGTGGGTACCACAGAGTGCCTATGTGACTGGCCGCCAATAAGCCAGATAGCATCACACACATATCACAGCTTGATCCTGGAAAGAATGGAGTGTCCCCAAGGTGACCCTTTGAGGGCTTCTAGAAGCTTGGGCCTCCTCTGGACTTCACAAGTGTCACACATCTGAATCTGAGCCATGGAGTTCAAGGACGTCAGCCCACTATACCCATAGTTTCCACATCCACAGATTCATTTAGCCATAGAACAAAAGTGGTTTTGTTTTTGGTTTTTTTTTTTTTTTTTTAATGCATCCAGGGGCCTGGAAGAGTGGCTGAGTGGTTAAAAGCATTTGTCCTGATTAGATCCCAAGAACTCTAAAGTCAGGCTGACATGGCAACCTCCTGTAATCCCAGCAGTTGGGAAGCAGGGACAGGATCTGCAGGGCGAGCTGGCTAACCAAACCAGCTAACTCATACACTAGAAAGAACTGAGAGACCCTGTCTCAATAAATAAAGTGGAGGGTCACCGAGGACCATCAAAACACCGAATTGGGGCTTCCGTGTGCATGCATACATATGCGCACACACACATTTGAGGATTGTCTTAAAGTCTGCATATGTCCTGAACATATACACACCGTTTCCTGTCAGCATTCTCTAAATAGTACATCCCAGCAGCTACTTGCGTTGCACTTATATTGCATTGGGTGTAAGTCTTCTGGAGATGCTCTAAAGTCTACCAAGGGCATGCTATACCATTTTAAGTTTTTATTATATTTATTTGTGTTTGTGTGTATACATGCATGTTCCATGGCACATGCGTGGAGATCAGAGAAAAACTGTGAGAGTTAGTTTTCTGCGTCCACCATGTGGGTCCTGGGGATCAGGCTCGGGTCGCCAGATTTGGAGGCAAGCTCCTTCATCCACTGAGCCATCTCCCTGGCCGTTTTACAAATGGGTCTCGAGCATCAACGCATTCTGGTGCCAACTTGCTACATCTTCTAAAGGACAGGAATATATGCTGCATATGTGTGAAACTCTCTAGCTAACAATGAACCTGTCTGACAGTGGTCTCAGGACCCCAATACAATACTAGAGAAGAGAATCAAAGACAGAAACATCGATAACAGCAGCTTAGCACCGACATGGGGCCGCATGTGGCGAGCATTCCAGCTCACACCTGGCATGTACAGTCTCAAGGAATCCTCATGGAACCCTATCGCGGGTAAAGGACCCTGCCCTACCCCCCCCCCCCCCAGTAAAAGCCAAAGCCATAAACTGAGCTCAGAGTTGCAGGAAGTCAGCCATTTGGAGATTGCATAAGCCAAGCAGCTACCCCCACCGCAGACACCAGGTGGTTCGAAATGAGACAACAGATCCGGCAGTTTCAATAACAGCTTGTTTAAGTAAAAAACGCTGACTTCCCCTTTCTGCCCCTGGTGAAACTCCCCCACCCGCTTCCCTATTCCTTAACTACAAAATCCTCAGCTTTTGCAGTATGTAATCTGTGTTCTCCTGAACTCTGGCCATTGCTGGTGGTGGGTCCTGTACCCTGATCATGGTGCAGCCAGCTCTTGAGACATCACCTCTCAGGTAAATAAGGCGGTTCTAGCTGTGCAGGTGTCTAAACTCTTGTCCTTCATTTCTTCCTACAAACTCAGTTCTTACAGTGATGGGTGGAGAGGGATCGGCCACTTTGGCGAGGAAGGGCAGGAACTCACAGCCCACACACACAGTAAGGGGTTCCTTTCCCGCAGCTACTAACTTCAAGCGTAGATACCATCTTTGCTGCACAATTTCCCAGCATAAGGATGGAGAAACACAGGGAGTAAGGAGTAAGCCAAAGACTATGCCCGGGGGCAGAAGCTGAGGTCAGCCATATTGCTTTCCCACAATGCACCTGCAACAGAGATGAAAGCATGGATTCTGGGAGACAGTCACTTTGTATTGGATCAACAGTCCCAGTATGTAGATCCTAAATTTAGACATTGAAGCCCTATTTTAGTGAATGTGAGGATGGGGACTTTGGGGGGTGAGGCCATGAGGATGGGGTTTTCATGACGAGATTAGTGGCTCTATATGCAGGGTGGGTACACACACCAGAGCTTGCTTGCTTCCCTTCCTCTACACAGACAGGGCACGGGAAGAAAAGTGGCCCTTTGCAAACCCGGCGGGTCACCTGATCACACCTGCGTGCTGTCTCAGGCTCCAGCCTCGGGAAACGCAAGCAAATCAGTTTCTGTGACGGAAGCCACCCACTGTGTGATATTCCTACTAGGGCATCCCACAGTCTGGGCTGGTCTGACCTGGTGAAGGTTTCTTCAGGTACTGGACTTGTATACCTACCGCCAGCAGAGTGTACTGACAGAGGCTTTTCGATGCCGCGGACATGACGTAGTCTAATGTTAAGTGGGGTCGACAGGCTACAAATCATGGCTTCTAGCACAACCTCAACTATGTCAGGAGAAAAACCACGCAAGGAAACCAGACGTTAGAGCGCACCAATGCCCAGCACCTCCCTCTGGGTGGGACTGCCCGTGGCTAGTATTTTGCTTTTCCTTTTTTGCAGTGTTTTCCAAATGTTCTACAATGAAAGCACACTGCTTTCAATATAAGAAAATAGGAATACAACACCTAAATTGGGGACTGACCTGTTACCCTCATCCTCTTCTCTGGGCTCTATGAACTCCACAATCCTCAAGGAACAGTGCCGACGAGGGGTGAGGTCTCTTTCAGACAGCAAGGGGCTCTGGCTCTCCCCTCCACAGGCAAACACCAGGCCCTGGTGTGGGGGGCGGGGCAGGGTGATAATGAGCATGGCTGCTCTCCAAAACTCTTTTTAGAAAGGATTTCTGTGAGCAGGGAAAGATTTACAGTGTTCTTGAGTATTCCCCGAGGCTCCCCTGACAGAACAGTACGGAAAATCAAACCTTTGTTAAGTTGAAGGTGCAGGAGGGAAGGGAGGGCCTGAGATCTACCAGCTGTGTTTCCATAACGCTCCAGAAAACAAAAAGTCGGTGCTGAGGTACAGGTGAGATCAGCAGAGGTGGGGGTTGCCTACATCCTCTGCGCGCTCATCTTCCTGAACTTTCTTCCCTGCCTGCTGATGCCGGTCCAAAAGGACAAAGATCCCTGTCCAGTGCTGTCCCAACTAGCAGGAGTCCTGCATCCCATCCTGGGCATATGATGAAATTAAGCCTGGTCAATCACCCTGCAAGGCTTGGCCAACCAAGACCCTACTGTGTACCAGACCTGTTCTCACAACACTTGGGTCAGATAAGTGACAGGCTGTGCCTGGGCAGACAAAGCAGCTCCCGGTATACAGTAGGTCCTCAAGATGGTTATAGACTGGTAAAGATAAGGTATGACCGCTCACACAACAGGTCCTCATGGCGTTTGTCCTTGCTGAGGGACAAGGCATCATCAGGTAGCAGGGTATGCCTCAATGACACCTGCGGCCTGCTAACAGGCAAGACATCACTCAGCACACAGTAGGACTTCATGACACCTGTGCCTGATGAGGTAAAACATTGTCTCTGATATAAAATATGTCCATATGACACTCGTAGACTGATGAGAGACAAAGCTTAGGTTGTCACATAGTAACTTCTGAGAAATGATTGACCGGCCTGACCAGGTGATATCATAAATAGTACCCCACAAGAAGTCACAGCCACCACAGGCGCCATCATGCAGTCAGGGGATGATAATGGGAAGAACACATCGATTGCCCAGGCTAGCAGAAAGGGTCAAGCTTGCACTATCTACTGAGGCACTGGGCTGGTGGCTTGCCCTCTCAAAGCAATAGGTGTGAATGGGGAGAGGGACCACACCCTGTTGGGGTGGTGGGGGACAAACGGGCATGAAATCCACGGCCTATGTACTCAGCAGGTGTTCAGCAGACAGCAGAGCCTCTTCCCGCCTCCCTGGGGGACTCTCCATGGAGAGGAATCCACAGAAAAGCATCGTCTGAGAAGTCAGGAGGAAAGTGAGGGAAGGAAAGAAAGGCTGCAGCGGGCGTCAGCAGCATCAGCAGCATCTGTATTCTCTCTTGCAGGCAACTGGTCGACTCCTCTTGGTCAGTTCTATAAATAGGCAGGCAGCAACCTTGAGAAGGAGAGGAGGTTAATGCCTTTGATGAGAACACCATTGTTGGTGCTGCCGAGGTGCGGCCTTGAGTGCCCACACCAGAGTCCCCATGCTGCCTGCCCTTACATTTTACAGAAGGGCTGCCTGAAAACCTGAGAGGGGAAGGGGCAGAGAGGTGAGGGTACAAGACACTGCTCAGGACACGGAGGCCCAGCCCTAGCAAACTCCAGCTTCCTCAATGCAAGGCAATAGGGCTGCCAGCCACATCACTCAGACCATTCTGGAATCTGATGCCAACTCTTCTTTGAGGATAAATGTTGCTTTCAGGGATTGTGGAGGGCAAGAACACCTACGGCTCTCTGTATTTTTCTGTAAAAACAGAAAGAAACAAGGTTCCTGAGGCAGCACTTTCAGTGGCCAGGCACACTCGAAACACAGCTTTGGCCCACTGGAACTGGAAGGAGCATGCCCGCCACTCCACCCTCTTTGATTAACTACAAGTGCGTGTCTGGTGGG